CACGGAACCAGCGGGGAGACGATGACACGGAACCGCTGGTCTCGGTCTCAGTTCCGGTCTGGTCCTGGTCTGGTCCCGGTCTGGTCCCAGTCTCAGTTCCGGTCTGGTCTCGGACCTGGATCAGTCCTGGTTCAGTCCGTACGCGGTGCAAAAGTTCCGGCATCGCAGTCACTGAAGTCACGTAAACGGGAAACGGCCGTTATCCGTTTTTTCCATTCTTCATTTAAACACAAAATCGAAAACTGAAAAAACAAATCATTATCCGTTTTTTCAGTTTGGTTTTGGAGACAAATAATGAAGAAAACTGTTGTTTTTTAGTTTTCTTATTTTTGGTTTTATATTGAAAAACGAATGAACGAATGATGCACGGATTATTTTAAATTTGGAAGTTTTACGTAAATTATCAGTAACAAAGTGTTTTTTTTTTTTGAGTGAGAGAAATGCTGAATAAATGTATCATGTAACTATAAAATAATCGTGATTTCAATATTGACCAAAATATTCGTGATAATGATTTTTTTTCCATAATCGAGCTGCTCTATGTCAGATGAACTTCCTGCGTCTCCATGTTTGTTTATTCTGTGTAAACTCTGCTCCCTGTCGTTTCCAGCTCTACAAACCTGTTTTAAAATGCATGAGATTCTTGTGTTGGTGGAGCAGCTCAAACGTTCGTCTCTCATCATCTCTGAACTCTAGGGGCAGAGAGATTTTTTTTTTCCGCTCCTGGACGAGTTTTGAAAAGTATTCAAAGTATTAAAATTGAAAAATAATCGTAAATGGAATGTAATTATTCAGAAAAATGTCAAGGCCGAACTCAAAATCATGGAAAGAGAGTATAAAATAAAATAAAGTACAAAACAATAATAAAGTGATAAACAGCTGGGATTTTGGTTCAGTGTCACAACATACAATGAAAAAAAAATCTAAAATAATGTTCTGTGTGTCATAGATTATAAATATGTACCAGAAAAAAAGTACAATATGTTCTTCAAAAACTCCTCATGGCTGTGAAACCTTCAATCTGTATTTTTGATTAAAAGCTCCGAAAACATCTCACGGTTAAATTCTAGAAAACCTGAATAATAATTGGCCTGTTTTCCAAACATAAAAAAATCATGGAAAATGAGGAAAAAAACTATTTGGTCCTTGAAAATTTCTCCACATTGACTTTTACTGACAACTATTAAAGCAGTTGGGTTTTATTTAAAAAAACAAAAACAAAACAAACAAAAAAATTGATTTTTCAGGCAATAATACCTAATATGATCTAGATTTTTAGACCTAGTTTAGACCTGGTTTAGACCTGGTTTAGTCCTGGTTTTAGACCTGGTTTTAGATTTTAGTCCTGGTTTAAGTCCTGATTTTAGTCCTGGTTTAGTGTTGGTTTTAGTCCTGGTTTAAACCTGGTTTAGACGTGGTTTTAGTCCTGAAAAATAACTGGATAATTACTTTGCTGAGTAATTAATTACTTTTACAGCCTGGTAACTGAGTTACTAATGCAGTTACTTTATGAGAGAAGTAATTTGTAATGGTAACTGAGTTACTTTTTTGAAGTAAAATGCCCGACACTGGGTAAAGCACTTAGGCTGAGTCTACATCCTACTACATCTACGTCTTAGGCTACAGGAAAAGAGAGCCCTGATACTTCTGTCCTGTGATTGGTCCAGTTTGGTTCTACTCGTGGCCGTGATCTATCAGGAGCTGGGCCAAACACATTCTTGTTTGTTGGTGAACTTCTTAGAAGAAGAAGAAGACAAAATAATATCTTTGGCTCAGAAAAATCACAAGGATTCACTTTGCTGTGCGAGGTTACAGTGCAGAAGCAGGTGCAGTGTTTGCGCCCTCTGCTGGATACACAACCAGAGGACAGATGTGTTTACTTGTCTGTTGTACTGTGTGAAATTGTTTTTCCCGTATCCATCCATATCTGTGCAAGAGGCCAAGGCTTTTTACACCAAATGTGCCAGAAGACCTTCCAGAAGAAACACTTGGAGGGAATTAACCATTGTCTCTTCCTCTCCTCAAACTCCTCTGACACAAACTGACACAGATCTGCTCCTGATGAACTGAACTGAGACGTTCGACTGACACACAAGGGCCAAAAATGGAAATGTTTCTGCGGCAAAACTTGAATTTAATGGTCTCTCTCTCTCTATCTCTTGTTTGTCACGCGTAAAAACACAAACAAACCCAACAAACGCAACGAAAACAAAATATTTTTCTTGTCTCATCACGTTCACTGGAAAAATACTTATCCAATTAGGACTCAGAAACTTGGAAGTGCTCCTGTGCTGCTGCGACACTGTCTCGCTGCTGGAGCTGTACGGTTACACTGTGCAAAGCGTGTGGCTGACGGGAATCTGGGAGTGGCTCCTTATCTGTGTTTCTGAGGATCTGTCCGGGCCCGTCGCGAGGTGGGGCCGCGAGCGTGTGCACCTTTAAAAGAAAAACACTTAACCCGGGCCGAAGAAAATATGTGAGGCTAAATAAATCCCTCCGTCGGTGTCAGAAAGTCGGTGTAAATGTCTTTGTGTGTCTCAAGTTCGTAAAAAAACAAATTATACCCTGTCACTGTATGAACTTCTTTAGGGTCTCAGCTATTTTCTGCCTTTGTGATTTCAATAGGCTCTTATAGAAACTCACTGCTTCTGGACGCCTAAGCTTTTGGAATTTCACGTGTAAGTGCATGGGAAAGAGTGGAAGTGTACAGTATATGGCAGCTTAGACAAGAGTGGGCGATTATTTTTTTCCGTGGCGCCACATGAGAAACAGAAAATAATGTAGAGGCCAACTAAATTCTGCATCATGTTATTTGTATTTCTTTATAAAAAAGCATAAATATCATTGAGTGTGTATACATGCACATCAATAACCCGGTTATGATCGGGTTTTTTGAGTATCCCGGTTTCTTGATGGTGCATGTAAACGCAGTAACCCGGTTATGGCAGTATCCCGGTTATTAGAAACCGGGATACTGCCATAACCGGGTTACTGTAGCTGGTTTATTCCGATAATAACCGGGTTACTTGTGGCATGTAAACGCAGTATCCCGGTTACTGCAACATAAAGTTGAGTCGCATGCGTCCAAAAGACACTTTCCAGCCTTTCACCACAACAGTAGTGACATAAATAAATTGACCAACATAAATAAAGTGACCAAACGAGTGAAATGACTGTAAAATAAAGAGCTGCGCTAAACCTGCAAACCTGCACGTACGACTGCACTGTACACTGCACTCGTACGACCTGCACTCGTGTGACGCTGAAAAGCTAAAACATGAACTATCTCCTGTACAACACACACACAGAACACACTTACCATCATTAGCGCCTCTTCTGTCACAGAAATAACACACATAATCCACAGAGTCGTGTCATTTAGTCCAAAAGAAACTGATCGCATCAGCGGCGCAAGGAGCGAGTTGTTTTTATCGCCGCTAACAGTTTATGCTAATTAGCCAAACGGTCTTAAGTTTCGTTTCTGTAAAACATAAACAAATGTGATCACAGCTGAATGATCTGATCAAACAGGCTGATGTGTCTATAGTGTTTATGGTTTATATGTTGTAAAGTTGAGTTTATTTATGCAGAAGATTTTAATGAAGAATCTGCACAGTGGATTGTGGGAGATCTCGTAGCTCCTTAGCTTCTTATGCTAAAGGAGCTCACGGTTTTCTATTTTTCCTGGTTTATTAAACCGATTTAAGTTAATTTTTGCGCCTGCGCATTTGTAAGATTATGTCAAGAAACCAGGATACTCCATTTGATCATGTACACGCGGATATGAGTGTCCCGGTTTCTCAGTGCTCATGTAAACGCAGTAACACGAATACTGACATAACCGGGTTATTGATGTGCATGTAAACGCACTCATTGTTTTGACGAGCTGCTCAGACTGTTTTTGAGTTTTTGCTATGATTAAGCAATGAAAAAGTGAGACTGCCGAACGAAAAATATAATTTAAAAAACAATGCAGTGCAGCTTTGGTGTAGTCAGGCTGGTCCCACCCAGTGCCTCCGCTCAGTTTCATTTCTCTCCCACGACAAGATCAGGAATCAGAAAACACTAGACCAGGAGCGTCCAACTCAGTTTGGTCCAGGTCCAACCGACTTTGATCCCAAAGGGGCCGGATCAAAAAACTCACGGCATTTACACCCCAAAAATAACAATAAGTCAAAAAGGTCAAATACTCGGACTTACCAGGACTAAACCAGGACTAAACCAGGACTAAACCAGGACTAAAACCAGGACTAAACCAGGACTAAACCAGGACTAAACCAGGACTAAACCAGGACTAAACCAGGACTAAACCAGGAACCTAAACCAGGACTGACTAAACCAGGACTAAACCAGGACTAAACCAGGACTAAACCAGGACTAAACCAGGACTAAACCAGGGACTAAACCAGGACTAAACCAGGACTAAACCAGGAACCAACTACTAAACCAGGACTAAACCAGGACTAAACCAGGACTAAACCAGGACTAAACCCACCAGGACTAAACCAGGACTAAACCAGGACTAAACCAGGTCTAAACCAGGTCTAAACCAGGACTAAACCAACTAAACCAGGACTAAACCAGGACTACTAAACCAGGAGACTAAAAGGTCTAAACCAGGACTAAACCAGGACTAAACCAGGAACTAAAACTAAACCAGGACTAAACCAGGACTAAACCAGGAAACTAAACCAGGTCTAAACCAGGACTAAACCAGGAACTAAACCAGAACTAAACCAGGAACTAAACCAGGACTAAACCAGGACTAAACCAGACTAAACCAGAACTAAACCAGGACTAAACCCCCCCCCCCAGGTGTCTGGGTTTTCACAAACGGAAATACGGTCACCCTATGTCACATGCACTTCGATGTTAAACAAAAATATCGATGTTTGTGGCTTCACTTCTTTGACGTCAGCGCAGCATTAGTAGTTAGTTAGTAGTCAGTTAGTAGTAGTTAGTAGTTAGTTAGTAGTAGTTAGTAGTTAGTTAGTACTCACACTCCGCTGAGCACGTCCATGGACTGGGTCTTGAGTCCGTAGCCGGTCTCGTCCAGGTTTATCACGGGGACAGTCAGGTCGATGTTTACACCCAGGGCCCCGAAATCTGCGTCACTAAACATCTTCAGGTGAGGAGACATGAAATCCTGCAGCACAGACACAGAGGGACGAAGAGTCAGGACAACGTGCTCCGTCTAATCTGCGAACGTCCGGAGGGTTTATCGCAAACTTTACCATTTTCTTATTTTTGGTTTTATTTTGAAAAACGAATGAACGAATGACACACGGATTCTGCACGACCAGAGATGTCCGGACTGAACTGCCCTTTAGGATGAATAAAATTGTTGATTGTTTGACTGACTGATTGAGTAAGTTTCAGTTTTGTTTTTGACGCTCCCCTTTGCTCCCCACCCTAAATCACTCCCCTTCAGAGCGCATCTTACAAACAAAACTACTGCACATCGCGTCAGGTTCGTTTTAACATTTATAGACAACAATCAAAACTTCTTCAGGAGAGTTTTTGATCGGTTAAAAGCTCTAAAAACTGGATTTTGCTGAATACTTTTAGTCCCAAACCAAAACAAAGCAAATGTCACGGCTTAAAAATGAAGTTCACGCGTCAAACATTATCTGTGACAACGTTTGTCCTGGAAACTTGGACACATTAGCGCTTAAGCTCACAGCCCCAGTGCTTTTAGTTCTGAACATACCACAGAGCGAGCAGTGAGTGACAGGGGAGCGATGTCGTGAGAGCAGAGAAAACACTCAGATGCCCTGTCAGGTCGGCACACGTGGACCCAACACACAAACAAAACAAACACGCATCTCACGGCGAGGAGGGAAAGGTTTAATATCGGTCTCGTCTCTCTGTCAGTGTCTAAGGCCAAGTTCAGACCCCCCCCTGGTTTTAGTCCTGGTTTAGTCCTGGGTTTAGTCTTGGTTGTAGTCCTGATTTTAAACCTAGTTTAGACCTGGTTTAGTCCTGGTTTAGTCCTTGTTTAGACCTGGTTTTAGTCCTGGTTTTAGTCCTGGTTTTAGTCCTGGTTTAGACCTTGTTTAGACCTGGTTTTAGTCCTGGTTTAGACCTGGTTTTAGTCCTGGTTTAGACCTTGTTTAGACCTGGTTTTAGTCCTGGTTTTAGACCTGGTTTTAGTCCTGGTTTTAGTCCTGGTTTTAGGCCTAGTTTAGACCTTGTTTAAACCTGGTTTTAGTCTTGGTTTAGACCTGGTTTTAGTCCTGGTTTAGACCTTGTTTAGACCTGTTTAGTTTTTAGTTTAAACCTGGTTTTAGTCCTGGTTTTAGTCCTGGTTTAGACCTTGTTTAGACCTGGTTTTAGTCCTGGTTTTAGTCCTGGACCTTTTTACCTGGTTTTACCTGGTTTAGACCTAGTTTAGTTTTACCTGTTTAGACCTTGTTTAGACCTGGTTTTAGTCCTGGTTTAGACCTGGTTTTAGTTTAGACCTTTTTAGTTTCCTGGTTTTAGTCCTGATTTTAGTCCTGGTTTTAGTCCTGGTTTAGACCTGGTTTTAGACCTGGTTTTAGTCCTGATTTTAGTCCTGGTTTTAGTCCTGGTTTTAGTCCTGGTTTTAGTCCTGGTTTTAGTCCTGGTTTAGACCTGGTTTTAGTCCTGGTTTAGTCCTGGTTTAGTCCTGGTTTTAGTTCTGGTTTAGACCTGGTTTAGACCTGGTTTTAGTCCTGGTTTTAGTCCTGGTTTTAGTCCTGGTTTAGTCCTGATTTTAGTCCTGGTTTAGACCTGGTTTTAGTCCTTGGTTTAACCTGGTTTTAGTCCTGATTTTAGTCCTGGTTTAGACCTTGTTTAGACCTGGTTTTAGTCCTGATTTTAGTCCTGGTTTTAGTCCTGTTTTAGTCCTGGTTTAGACCTTGTTTAGACCTGGTTTTAGTCCTGATTTTAGTCCTGGTTTAGACCTGGGTTAGACACAATTAACAATATCAATCCTGCTGCAGATGTGTACAGATGTAGTTGGTTATTTTTTTTTTTTTTTGCATCTACTGAAAACCGCTGCTTTAGTCCTTAAATTAAATTCAAGAAAAGTGTCTTTGACTGTGTCCATTTTGATGGCAGAGGGATTCTGTTTTAGAATCTTTCTTATGAACTGAAATCCGACCGGTGAAATCAGTTGTTTTCGTGAGGTCGTTCACATTTCCAGTTAAATGTGACTTGTCTGTGATCTCGTCCCACATGCGCCACTGGAGACACGACGACGTCCAACACAGCGATCGTGCTCAGAGTTTACAGAAGTCTCCTAAATGCTGGGGATGTCCCGATCAGATTTTGAGTCATTTGATTTTGATCATCTGCCGATACCGAGTCCCGATCTGATACTTCTTTAAAACATTATAAAATGAACTAAGAGCAAAGAATCAGATCCAGGATTTGGGCTCAACTTAATGTGAAAAATCAAATGTCCAAAACTTTAATTTTATTATCTTGAAAATCTTGAGTTTTCACAGTTTGGTCTTGGAATGTAACTCAGTAAACTTAATGAACTGGACAAAAACAGGAACCAGACCAGAACCAGATCAGACCTGAGACTCGACTCTGCACAATCTACACTTTGTATATTTGATATTATATGTTTGTATGTGCTTTATATTTGAAACATTTAGGCTCGTCTATGAAATCCAAACAATACAAAACCTTACCAAATAAAAACGAGATGACAGAAGCTCCGCAGTCTCTCTCCCCCAACCGCCCCCACTCCCCTGCACCGACACCACATCCACGAACCCACCGCGGAGAGCGCACTGCAACATCTCACTCCATTGCCGGAAACCCACACAAAACGCGCGCAGTAACAGCGATGTGAACGTCATGTTAAAGTTGGCGGCGTCAGTCGCACAATGGACGAGGTGGAAGAGTCAGTAGAACAGAGCAGCAGTGCACAGGGAAAAACACATTCGTGTCTTGGAAATTCTTCTCCCGACGTGAAATATTAAAGAAAATAACAAATATAAATCGCCTGAAAACAACCTGCATAGGCTCATGATGTCTGCACTACTGTCCTATAGTGACCTGCCACATGAGGGGGACACACACACACACACACACACACACACAACACACACACACACACACACACACACACACAACACACACACACACAAACACACACACACACACAAACACAAACACACACCTTCATCATCGTCATTAACCTGAGAAAGCGCGGACCACGTTTCCTTCCGTAGACACTGCGCGGACACCGACGTGCTCCCGTGAGCCGCGTACGTGTTCTCGCGCGTACGCGGCGTAAACCACACTTCCTCCTGTGCCTCTAAACCAGAACTAAAACCAGGACTAATCCAGTCCAGGACTAAACCAGGACTAAAACCAGAACTAAAACCACGTTTAAACCAGGACTAAACCAGAACTAACACCAGGACTAAAACCAGGATTAATCCATTCCAGGACTAAACTAGGACTAAAGTAGGTCTAAACCAGGTCTAAACCAGGACTAAAACCAGTGATCTCATATATAAAGCATTTCTCTATCAATAATATTTTTAATATGGTTAAGGAAAGACTGGACTTTTTATTGTCTTTAAGTCGACAAAAGTTATTATGTTCAGATTTCCTCGTCTTTGCTACTTTACAACAAACAGTTTCTTATTCATGGAGACTTGGGCTCAACAGACAATTTGGAGAGATTTGTTAAACAATAAATTACTTTATAAAGTCACTTTTTTTAATCTATATGAGTCTTTTGATCTGCCACAATAATGTAATA